TTAGTATCACTATATTGTACTTCAAGTATAAGGTAACAATGATAAAGTTGTGTGTAATCATTTAATTTGTACAAATCTTACATTTTATGACATATTTTTAATAGTTTGTTTTAAATTTTCTTGTTAGATTTTTATTCTGTGTTTTCATAGAAACAGGATGACAAAGTCCAGGATACTCAGGTAATACTGCCATTTATAACTACTACATCTCTGACGAACAAACTGAGATTCACTGAAAACATTCCAGATTATAATAATATACAGTATATAACATATAATCAACAAGGCTGATGTTTTGATCACCATGATACTTTATCATTAAAAAAGTCTTACCATTTTCTTACATCACACTTGGATGATTTGCAGCTTTACTGAATGACCAAAATTAGACAAAAAGCACAAATGTACACATTTAATAAAATCTAATAATCTCAGGAGGTGGCATTTAATATGGGACTAAACACCAGACAGTATTTAATTTTAAGATTAACTGAAACATAAAAGAGTGCTTCAGTCTAACTTCTATGTTTGATGTTTGTAATTTCTATTTATTTTTCAGCACACGGTTAGATTAGACAGGGAAACTTGCCGTTAGTATGCTGGTTTGATTCATAGAGAGTTTTCCACTTTTAGCTTAAATGAGACCAACAATGACCCAGTCTGGATCCCAATTTACAAATGTCTTTATTCCTTCTAAACCAAATGAAGAGAAAAGATAGCCCAATTCTAATTTTACTCACTTTTATATCCAGCTCAGTGTGTGCAGCTATCTGACAAATCTGGCCATGATGTGGCCGTGGCATGTGTAAAATGATCACTTCTAGAATGCAGAAGATCTGTTTCCTGTTCTGCAGCCATGTGAATGATCTGATGTCAGTGTCACATGACGGTGATGAGATTAAATTATTACAACATGACACTGCTCAACACAAAGGAGAGGCGCAAACTGATGACAAATACAGTTAGAAAAATGTTGAGAAGTGTGTTTTGTCATTTCCTCATACGAGTTCTACATGGGGAAAAACAGAGTGGTTTAAAACCAGTTACCGTTGTAAATGTTTGCAAAATAATTTATGTTCTGCTATTCACTGCGCATGCTCCAAACACGGGCAGTAAATGAAGATAAAAAGCATCCTCCCATTTTCAGTGGAACCCATAATTAGTTTTCATGCTTCAACCTGAGGTCTTTACCATGCTTGACTTTAACTGTGCCACTCCTAAATTGTACATTTTCTGTGCTGATAACCCCACCCTTCAGACTTTACATGACTCTGCAGCAATACTGATCTCTTCTTTTGAGTTCAAGCTTAATTATTATACAATGACTGGTTGTCTGTTTCATCCACAACTTCCACTTTCTCTCTCTCTTTCTCTGCCGCATTGCGTGTATATGCTGCTCGTACGGATCGAAGCCAGTACAGTGACTCACCTCAGCTCATGCACAGAGACATGTTAAGACCAAAAATAAAAATCTTGGAATCCACTGCCTGGTCCGAACCAAACAGCAAGTAATGTAGTGTCCAGTTATTACAATCATTCCTCATACTGGATAACATCAGGGGATCCTCTAAGTACTAGACCACTGCTGAGCTTTGTCACCAAGCCGGTGGCTGTGATGGTCACCATGGTAACCTGCCCTCCTAACATACGCACTCAGCAGCATTGTTCACATTTGAGGAAACTGAACATTTTAGTTTGGCTAAACCAGTGCAGACCTACAAACGCATGACACATTGTTTCAATCAAATATCTGACACATTTTTTTAAACAGCCAGAATATCACGTTATTGGAATGATTACACTGTGTAATTTATGAAAGAGATGTGAGATTTCTCCATTTCTCCATGATGCTGATAAGCCTGTCCATCAATCTGATTTGCTCTGTGCTTGTATGGGGAATGAGTGTATGTAATTTCAGCCCAAGTCTCTGTTTCCTTTCTTAGGACAGAGGGGGCTCATTGAATTACCCAGAGATTCTGAAGACAGCTCGATCCCCACAGAGAAACACACAGGCAGATTGTGTTGACCTGCACAAAACAAAATTAAAATCAAGTGACACATTTAAAGCTGGAAACAAATTGGTGCGACTAGACTGTATAATATCTGAGAAAAAGATGCAGTGTTGTGGTAAAAGCATATATGAAACATTTAGACAAGAAAATATAAGGAAGTTCCTCGTTTGTTATTCAATGGAACTCAACAGGAAGGCCGCTGCTGTCACTTATTCAGTCTGCTGTAAAAAGACTAGACCAATCCAGCAACATTTCCTTTTCCCACGAGTCACATAAATAGCTACTCACTCATTCATATCTGCCAATGAAAACATGCACCTGCAGACACACACAGGCACCTGCAGTGAAAATATGATTTATAACGGTTTGAGATGTTGTGACTGTGCTCAATCTGTTAGAGCGGGTCAAAAGATTGCTGGTCAATAACTAATTTTGACGCCTGGGAGAAGGGTGACAACACCTCCTCTCACTCTCGTTCTCTCTCTCGTCTCACCTCCCACTGATGTCTCCCTTTCCATGTGCCCAGTCCTGTCTGTCATCCACCCCCGTCAAATCCGTCTCTCTGCGTCTTCACTTTCACTCTTTGTTCAGTGTTCATTTCCACCAACCAGCTCTATTGTCTGGGCTTTCGTATTTGTGTTTGGATGTATATAATAAAAGAAAAGCATATTGTGTGTCCTGTCCATATTTATATAACCACTAATTATGTTTTGTGTACTGGAGCAAATTCAGTGCTTCTGAAGTGGCTGTTTACAATGTTAAGTGAACGTTTGTGGAAATAAAACAATTAAAAATAATTCGTGTAAGTCGAGCAGCTGCCAAATCTAGCAATGTAAATTACACTTGACTGAAAAGTAGCACAGCTTGCTCAACACCTGTAATCTCAAACAGAAATATTATCGCCAATTACTGAGACATGCACACATGCAATATAACCCATGTGTACACATGTATGTGCCAACCCACACACACTCTTTGTGTTCCTGCACACACGTGCAAACACACCTATGGTCTATCTCAGCGGTGATCAGCAGCAGTACTTTTCCACAGCATCAGTCTCTTTGTGCAGCCTTTCTGCACCAGGCCTGCCTGGACTTGCTGCAGTGAGAAATTTGTTCACCTGCTCTTTTGTTACCAAACTGTTTGCATATGAATGCAGTCCGGTCAAACGGCTCTCTCTTTGCCGACATTCTGTCGTCTGCTCGACAAGCTTGAACGAATGGTTTAATTGTTTGCTTTGAGCTCAGATGGGCTCGTTGAGCAACGTGCGCCTCACAGTGAGAGTTGTCATGCACACTGTGGTCTTATGAAACCATGTACATGTATATGGGGTGACTAAACCTGAAAGAAAGGTTTTTGTTAAAAAAAAAAAAGTATGTGGTGGAAATCATTTCACAAAGGTTTTGCACAACAGGAGCAAAATTACAAATCACGTGGGAAATTCAGTGGCGAGTTTATCTTTGTGATGTCTGTTTTGTTCCAGTGCAGTTTTGTATGTTCTGGTGTGGTTCGGATAAGAGTCTATCAACATATGTGGAAAACTTTGGATATTTTTAATCCTCCTTCACAGAGATGCTTTTGTAATTTCATATGATAAATTTGAACAGACAAAACATTGCCACTTCAAAATAAATGTACTTTAAAGGCTTATTTTAAAGGTAAACTTTTTTTTGTTTTTTTGTTTGTTGTAGTAGTTTAAATAGTTTAGCTGCAGTTTGCTTGTGTTAAATACCTTACTCTACCACTAGAGGACGCTTACCACTGAAGACTTTTATTCTTACATCTTCTCCTTTTGACACCTAAATTATCAATTAAAATTATTCTAGGTTTATATCAATTTTATTTATGTCTAATTTATATCAAATGATGTATCCCATAGTTACATGATCCAACTGTTGCACTGCTTTATCATATCTTTAGTCTGTTTTCCATTCCTCGTTATCCAAGTTGTAAAAGTGACCCACTTTAGGGCCATTGATGGTCACCTTTGACCTTTGATGAGGCATATTTGTATTGATATAACACAAAGATCAGGTACTCTCATGTCAGACACAAGGCTACAGTTACAGACTCAAAGAGGACTTGAAAGTCCAGTTCTATAGAAAATCAGGGTAGATAATTAGGTCACTTATGCCTAGTTTACCAACATAAACAGATTTATAAAGGAACAGCCTGGAACAGCATCTTATGAAATAAATCAGGAAGAAGACTACAAATATATTAAATATGCCTGATTTGTGTCTTGCAGCTTGACTTTTAGTAATCTTGACATCAAAGTGTCTCTTCTGGCTCTGCTGTGATATTGCAGAGCTGCAAGAGTCTAAAGAACCCTTTGATGAGTTTATAAACTTCATTATCCTGTTCTGTCTTTCTTTGATGTTTTTAAAATTTGTCCTTGATAATTAAGTGCAAACGTTCTGGCAGTGGTTTGTTGTACAGGGTAATCTGTTTGCCCTTTATTGAGTTGTGACGTGTCCATCAGGCTGCTGGACACATTGGAGTGAGTGTTTTTTGATCAGTGGAGGTTGGATACGTGTGGCAGAACAGATTGCAAACTCATGCTTTAATGTGTTGTGACAGTGCAGCAGTAGTTTATTGAAGGAAAACATGCATTTTTTGTTTATATTCTAAATTTTACATTTAAATGCTTTCCTTTTTCTTTGCATTGATGTTTTTTTTTTCAATTGAAAAAATATAGTAAATTCTTATGACATGCTAACTACCTCACAAGGCCACATCAGAAGGTTACAGCATGATTTAATTTGTACTGAAGTCTGAGCATGACAGATACTTTCTGCATAGTAGTTTTTAGTTGGCACATAGATCATTTATTCAGTTAGATGATTAAATAGACGTTTGCAAACCGAGAAAACAGCTAAAATTACAGACAAAGGCACACAGGTTGCTCTAGTCAAAGTGCATGTATAAAACATGTGTGTGTGTCTGTAGTATGGACGTTCAGACAGTTACCGCGTTGCCACCACACAGGACAAAGTTGACCGATCCCCCAAGAAGAAGAAGGGGCAGACGGCCAAGGACATGGATGACCTGAAGAAGGAAGTGCCCATTGTAAGTAAAGTTCTGCCTTAATCGCACAATACTTGTAGAAGAACTGAATCTGTCTGAATCCTGTCAATCAGAGGCTAACTAAATTTACAGCCACAATTTATTTATTGCATCAAAATATCTCTGTACTCTCCATTCGTCTTGCAATAATAATAAAAAAAATTGTTAAAAAAATTACATCCTCATCATAACTTAATAGGTTTTTACTTTGGAAATAAGAAATATCTTTCACATACAGGCCAAAATCCTGAATTTTCACTTGTTAGGAGGACTGATTTGTTGTCAGGATGTTGTGAGTTTTATCCCACATTTCAGCTCAAGAGAAAGACACCAGGGTCGCCTTTTCTGGCTGACCTAACACTCTAAGTTCTAAGGTGAACTGCATGCATGGAGTAAAATGTATAATTAATTTTTACTTGACTATGTTCGATGTTTTACAAATGCAAAATTTATGATAAACATTTAATGAACATATTTGTAGATTAATAGTGCATGCAAAACGACAGCAACACCTATGATATTACTCATTATTAATGTGCGCTCTGTTTGTGTTTTTGTTTTTATTGTCATTTTGCAGACGGAACACAAGATGTCCGTTGAAGAAGTAACCAGAAAGTTCCAGACTGATATTGTCCAGGTGAGTCTTATTTGGTGGTTTGAGGTTGTTTCATAATTTGAGCACTAGGTGGAAGTAGTGAACCTCTGTTACCAAATAAAAGTACGGTACAGTGTATTAACAACAATCCAGCTGAAAGGCCTCAGGACCACACAGCCACATCTAAGAAATATGAAGAAATTCTTCATTAACTTACATTATTGCTGGTTCTGCTCAATCTGTTCTTCCTTTACTCACATCATGTTTATATTGTCTCTTCTCTCCAGGGACTGACCAATGCCAAGGCAGCAGAGATTTTGGCCAGGGATGGTCCCAATGCTCTCACCCCTCCACCCACCACCCCAGAGTGGGTCAAGTTCTGTCGCCAGTTGTTTGGTGGGTTCTCCATCCTGCTGTGGATTGGCGCCATTCTTTGCTTTCTGGCCTATGCCATCCAGGCAGCCACAGAGGACGATCCTGCAGGCGACAACGTAAGCAAAGCACACACATACACACAATTTGTGCAACAGATTTTCCATGAACATATTCCCATCTGGCCCACCTACACCCCATTAACACATTTGTCACACTCAGAACTGTGAAGTAGAAATAACATCATGGCAGATCTATTTGAGCTTCATACGCAGTCTTCTCCCTCTCAGTAACTACACGTTTGACTGTTCCTTTGCCTCTCTGTTGCAGTTGTACCTGGGTATTGTGCTCACAGCTGTTGTCATCATCACTGGCTGCTTCTCATACTTCCAAGAGGCTAAGAGCTCCAAAATCATGGAGTCTTTTAAGAACATGGTGCCTCAGGTAAACAAATTAATTTACCCAAAATAAAAATGCACATACTTTATGTTTAAACATTCTTTTTTTAAAGTTCTCACAGTCTAAAAAGTGCTGCACCGATCCTATATTAGTATACCCTGCATTCTATTTACAGTACTGAAATTTTAGAAATGTGGCAAATACTAAAATTTAATTATTATTTTCCAGTTGATGTAATCAGAGCTTAAAAATATATGCAAAAGAAAGACGTCTCATTTTTATTTACTTTTTAGAATAAACAGCTTGCAAACAAAAGGGCATCTCTAAACACAGTAACAAATAAAGTCTTCCTCAAGTTCTGCATCAAACAGCTGTCCAACTATTAGCCAACTATTAGCTGACTATTAGCTTTAATGCTGCCTTTAATACCAAAGTCAAATATTATTTATATATATATATATAATGTGTGTGTTGCACAGGCATTCACCTTTGACCTAAAATGTTTCAAGTGTTTTTAATCAAAGTTTATATTCTAAATAATTTTATCAGTCAGTGTTTTCCTCTTATGCAAGCAAAAAAACAAAACAAGAACAAAAAAACAATCTTTTTTTGTTTCTTGTTACAAGTGTTTGTTAGTTATCTGTACTTTCTGACCACTGACTGATTGTGTCCTTGCAGCAAGCACTGGTGATCCGTGAGGGTGAGAAGGTGCAGCTCAACGCTGAAGACGTGGTGGCCGGAGATCTGATAGAAGTAAAGGGAGGAGACAGGATCCCTGCTGACATCAGGGTGGTTTCTGCTCATGGCTGCAAGGTACACACAGACTCTAACTAACGCCACATTCACTGCACTCTGGTGTTAAAAAGATTTAACTATCAAATCCCTTTGTGGGAAAACATGGCTGTCTCCAGGTTTGCTTTGCTTTTAAACACTTAAGTTTATTTATAAGAATGAACTAAAGGAGTGTGAAAATGTACCCACATTGTAGTATAGAATATCACACAATTATATCTACAGTACTGGCCAAAAGGTTTAAACCACTCATAATTTCTTAAAATTTTGCTTTCCAATCAAAATATTCTTATTGTTATTTTTCACGTGGTCTTGACCAACAGTTCTTCAGGCTTTCTGAAGGTCTTTGACTCTTTTTGTCTTTTGTTTGCCTTTTCAGAGTCAATTATAAACAGGTTCTTTGTTACTAGCAGCTTGTTACAAAGACAAAGTTTGTTCCTATTTTTTAGCCTAAAACGAATGAACAAGTAGTTCATAGAAAAACCTTTATAAAGTTCGAAGAACTATTAATTAAGACCACTTTTAAAGGTCACAAGAATATCTGACTGCTTATATAGAAAATGTAAAAAAAAATGAGGAATGACTCAAGACCTTTGCGTAGTACTGAAGGATCAATATTCCGCTTCTTGTTTTACAAAACTAGTTTTTGTGTTACAGGTGGATAATTCCTCCTTAACAGGAGAATCAGAACCACAGAGCAGGTCACCTGACTGCACCCATGACAACCCCTTGGAGACCCGAAACATCGCTTTCTTCTCCACCAACTGTGTGGAAGGTATTATCACCTTGACAATTGTATATTCTGTGGCATTATTAAACTGTGTGCACATGTCTCATTTTAAAGCCAACAAATTTTTTGGAATAATAGAATTATCAACATTAGTCATTTTTAGTTCTAAAAGTAGGAAACATTCCATTTCATAAAAGTGTTTGTAAAGAAAATCACAAAATCTCTTACAGCGTTACATTTGAATGTTTCTTTTGTTAAACCAGGCACAGCTCGTGGTATCGTCATCTACACCGGAGATCGCACAGTCATGGGTCGTATTGCTACTCTGGCTTCTGGTTTGGACACCGGCAAAACTCCCATCGCCAAGGAAATTGAGCACTTCATCCACATTATCACAGGTGTGGCCGTCTTCCTCGGTGTGACGTTTTTCATCCTGGCCATCATCCTGGGTTACTCCTGGCTGGAAGCTGTCATCTTCCTTATTGGCATCATTGTGGCTAATGTGCCTGAGGGGCTGCTGGCCACAGTCACTGTAAGTAATTAGTGGTTTTGGATTAGCATCCTTTATTTCCTTTGTGTCTAATAGTTTTGTGTTAAACTTACAGAATACATCCTAAAAATATTGCTTTATATATAAAAATGACATAAAAACAATTTAACCTTTTAAACATGTGTCTGCAGGTATGTTTGACTTTGACTGCCAAGCGTATGGCTAAGAAGAACTGCCTTGTAAAGAACTTGGAAGCTGTGGAAACCTTGGGCTCCACTTCCACCATCTGCTCTGACAAGACCGGCACCCTGACCCAAAACAGGATGACTGTGGCCCACATGTGGTTTGACAACCAGATCCATGAGGCAGACACCACCGAGGATCAGTCAGGTTAGAGAGGAAAGGGCATAAAGCACAGGTGCTGCTGATGCCTGAAACATATTACAGTTGGAAAAGGACTTAATGATTACAGCAAAGAATCACTCATTTCTCGCTTCTTTTCCCAGGTGCTTCCTTTGACAAGAGCTCAGTGACGTGGCAGGCTTTGTCTCGTATCGCTGCTCTATGTAACAGGGCGCAGTTCAAAGCAGGACAGGATGCAATACCCATCCTGAAGAGAGACGTTGCAGGCGACGCTTCTGAGTCGGCCCTGCTGAAATGTATAGAGCTGTCTAGCGGCTCTGTCAGGGCCATGAGAGACAAAAACAAGAAAGTTGCTGAGATTCCCTTTAACTCCACCAACAAATACCAGGTAAGTATTTCTTGAATACAGCCATGAACGGACAAATAATAACATTGATAAATCTAAAGAACAGTTTGTGTGAATATTATTTGTTTCTTATCCTCATGTAGTTATCAGTGCATGAGACAGAGGACCCCAATGACAACCGCTACCTGCTAGTGATGAAGGGAGCTCCTGAAAGGATCCTAGATCGTTGTTCAACCATCCTGCTGCAGGGCAAAGAGCAACCGATGGATGAGGAGTTGAAAGAGGCTTTCCAGAATGCATACATGGAACTGGGAGGACTGGGAGAGAGAGTACTAGGTAAAGATAGGCAGTTATACAGATAAATGTTTAAAATGGATAAAATATGGGATGGGACCAAGAGGCTCAAAGGGAGAATAGATTTAAGGACACACATATATAACTGGAAATTTACCATGTCATCCTATGATACAAGTTCTTTGTTTTATAAAACTATTAGCTTAGTTAAATGTTAAGTTTTCTATGCATCTCCTCTTTTATTTTTCTATCTTTATCATGTTAACATCATTTTTCTTTAGCTGTTAAAACAGCTCTTTTAGCTTTGTGAACAGTGTTTTTCAAAATGCGTTAAATAATTAGTTTTTTTAATCAACCTAAAGAATAATATATGAACATTGTATCTAATTTTAATTTATACTTACCTTTTGGTCCTGAAACTTATTCTTATCTTTAAAAGATACACTATTGCTACATTATCTGGAAACAGAGTAAAGAAAAGTTATTCCAAAAACAAAAATGGAAAAATAAAATGAAAAGCTTCACCACATTTGTCTTTTCCCTGCAGGTTTCTGTCACTTGCTCCTGCCAGAGGACCAGTACCCCAAAGGTTTTGCCTTTGACACAGATGACGTTAACTTCCAGACAGACAATCTTTGCTTTGTTGGCCTCATGTCCATGATTGACCCTCCTCGTGCTGCTGTGCCTGATGCTGTTGGGAAATGCCGATCTGCTGGTATCAAGGTGAGCCTTTTCTGCTCAACACAAGTGTTTGACAACATTGTTTCTAGGGCTGATAAAAAATTAAAAAAAAACTTTGCTGCTTTTATAGGTTATTATGGTCACTGGTGATCATCCAATCACAGCTAAAGCTATTGCCAAGGGAGTGGGCATCATCTCAGAGGGCAATGAAACAGTGGAGGACATCGCAGCTCGTCTCAACATACCTGTGAGCCAGGTCAACCCCAGGTGAGGAAGGTTTACAGAAAAATACACACTAAACAAATACACAGCCTTCAATAAGACACCAAGTTAAGAATTAAAAGCTTGCACTGTTTGTGTTCAGGGATGCCAAAGCCTGTGTGATTCATGGCTCCGACCTGAAGGATTTGTCTCAGGACCAGATGGACGACATCTTGAGGAATCACACAGAGATCGTGTTTGCCAGAACCTCCCCACAGCAGAAACTCATCATTGTAGAAGGGTGCCAGAGACAGGTTGGAGCATTTTGACATTGTTTTAATAAACTGGTTTGAATGAAAGATGTGACTTTGGCTGGAAATACAGTTGGTTCTGTGTGACTACTCTACTTGATCAACAGTAGAGGGTGCTAGATATCCACCAAATGAAGCACTCCAGTGAAGCGATTGGCTAACTTTTGAAGCATTATCAGCCTTTACATGAAAATATATACGGTAGTTAGAAATGTATATATGTTTTTTTGTAAGATATGAAAAATATATTAAATTGTGAAAATGTTGATTTGAGCATGCACTTTAGCTCTGATGATGACTGCTTCAGTTGGATTCTTTTAAACAGGTTAACCTTGCTAAATGTGGAATCTGACGAATAACAATTCTTTTTTGTGACTAACCTTACTGTCTTTTCTCATCCCTCTTAGGGTGCCATCGTGGCTGTGACAGGTGACGGTGTGAATGACTCTCCTGCACTGAAAAAAGCCGACATTGGTGTTGCCATGGGAATCTCAGGCTCTGATGTGTCCAAACAGGCTGCAGACATGATCCTATTGGATGACAACTTTGCCTCTATTGTCACCGGAGTAGAAGAAGGTAGGAATGGACAGAGCTGAAGGATTAGAAGCAATAAATCAATTGTGTTCATAACAAGAACATTAATTGTAGGAACAGAATGGAAATTAGTTTTGAGTTAACTGAGACTGTAAAGGGGAGTTTCCCTCTGAAAATAATTAAGAGAATATTGTGTATCATTTCAAAGGCCCATCTCTGATTATTTTGTAATGTGTTTTTCTATTTTTTCCTCCTTTAGGCCGCCTGATTTTTGATAACTTAAAGAAGTCCATTGCCTACACATTAACCAGCAACATCCCAGAGATTACTCCCTTCCTACTCTTTATCATAGCCAACATTCCTCTACCTCTAGGAACCATCACCATTCTCTGTATTGATCTGGGAACTGACATGGTGAGAGCTGATCAAACCCACGCTCTTCGATTTTACTAATAAAATGTTAGGCATCTATATGAGAATTAAAGTTCGCATTTCTTCCTCGTTCAAAAGGTTCCAGCCATCTCTTTGGCTTATGAAACAGCTGAGAGCGACATCATGAAGCGTCAGCCCAGGAACCCATTCAGGGACAAGCTTGTGAACGAGAGGCTTATCAGCATTGCTTATGGACAAATTGGTATGTGAACTGTTGATGCAGACTGTGAATTATTGTTTTTTTATCTGTTTTTAGAATGATTCTTCCTTATTATCACAAACAACAACACCTACCTACTTTTCAGACCTGTCTCCAGATTTAAAGATTAAAGGTCTGTGTGTATGTTTCCACAGGTATGATCCAGGCTCTGGGAGGCTTCTTCAGCTACTTTGTCATTCTGGCTGAAAATGGTTTCCTGCCCGGTACCCTGCTGGGCATCAGGCTCAACTGGGATGATCGTAGTGTAAATGATCTAGAAGACAGCTATGGGCAGCAATGGGTAAATGGATTGTGTGTGTTTGTAGTGTTTTTTTTTTTTTTTCCAGTTGGTCTCACATTTTGTTGGTCATCTCCTTCCTCTTCAGACATATGAACAAAGGAAGATTGTGGAGTTCACATGTCACACAGCCTTCTTTGTCAGCATCGTCGTAGTGCAGTGGGCCGATCTCATCATCTGCAAGACCAGACGTAACTCTGTGTTCCAGCAGGGCATGAGGTGAGTCCAAGAGCTGCATCTAAATGCTTGCACGTCTCCTTTTAGACTCCAGAAATGTCCTGGACATCTGTCATCTTTTGTTTCACCAACTGCAAATAACACAAATATTGCCCAAATTATTGTTATATATCTTGGTTTTTGTGTGGATTATTTTTTACTAATATTTGTTGTGTTTCTGCACTCAGGAACAAGATCTTGATCTTCGGCCTGTTTGAAGAGACAGCCCTAGCTGCCTTCCTGTCTTACTGCCCAGGCATGGATGTGGCCCTCAGGATGTATCCTCTAAAGTAAGTCTCAGAGTCAAATGTGTCCCATGAATATAAAATAATCCAGTTGTCTGTTTACTTCATTTGGGTTCTCTTGACTTGTCCACAGGCCTTCCTGGTGGTTTTGTGCATTTCCTTATAGTTTTCTCATCTTTGTTTACGATGAAGTACGAAAACTTATCCTTCGCCGAAATCCTGGAGGTGAGTCTTTATCTTCTTTAACTCCCCTTGAACAAAGGCTTCTTCATAGATGCATGTTTTAGTCGTGCAGAAAGTTTGCACTTGACATGCCCTACTTTTAAGAAATTACAGCTCTTTTGACATTTAGTTGAGGAGGTTTTTATTTTTTCTCTTCAATAAATTCAGTTGCAACTACAGACACACCTGTAACTTGGTCTTCCTCTGTTTAAAGCAGTGGAACATCTTCAAATGGTTTCTCAGAAGCTGTGTATATTTTTCTAACTCATAACATGTCCACTGAATGCTGTCTTGATGTTCAGAAAGAGAGGACCGGCAGGTCAAGCACAGCAATGCAACTGTCATCATCTGCTGCTGTGTGCTCCTGGTTGAAACCACTTTCCTCTAGAGCTCTAATCTGACCTTCTTTTGCAAAGTGTCTTGAATCTGTCTAAATAAAACTAACTAAATATTGATTATGCTTCTTAATTATGATAAATTACAGCTTTACTTTTAGAGGCACGTTGCATCTTGAAGCTGACATCATGAGTTTGCACATTTATGTTTTTGCGAGTAATGAAAACACCTTTTGATTAATTGTGATCATTTATCTGTTTTTCTCATTTGCGCTCCAGGTTGGGTGGAAAAGGAGACATACTATTGATCACCAGAGCACCTCCGCTCAAGCCTCTTACATCTTCTATTCATACGTTTATGCCCCGTCACTCCATCCTTGGCAAGATACATCTCCAGATGCCCCTTCCCTTTTAAAGACAAAAACCGCTTTGAAGCAATTTTCATCACAACTGCCCCAAAGATTAAAAACAGCAAAAGCACCTTTACAACTTTCTACATTGACCTGCGCTCTTTCTCCTTACCTCCTATGATACTCTTTGCATGTGTCCTCTCACTGCTGTGTACTTAAACCAATATATCTACCAAACGGCAGCTGCATATTGTGTATGTAGATTTGAATGAACTAAAGATACAAAGGGAGTGTCAATGCTCTGCGAAAAGGACCATCCAGCTCCTTCTTCCCATTTTCTCCTCTGCTGTCTTTCTGTATACCTCCGTTTCCCTCTGCTTTCCCTTGCCAACCCTTTGCTTGCCCCCAATCACACACAGATCAAAAAAATCAGTGTGATTTGACCGCAGACACATCGACTGCCACCTCGCCTCCGTTTCCTGTTTGTGGAGGACCCGCATAGTGGTCCTTTCCCCGGCGATCTTACTGCATCCATTTTCCGTTTTTTTCTGTTCTCCACGGCCACAGTGTTGTTTTTTCTTTTGTTAATATGTCAAGTGGGAGGGATTTGGATTATTTTATTTATCTTTTTTATTTCTGATGTGGGAGAGAAGGTGTGTGAGAACTGCTTTTCCTCATTTAGGCTTAACAGAACACACCCCATGGTGCCCTGTCCTCTCTCTCTCTCCCCCTTCTGTCTCTCACACCCTTCTCTCCCTTCCCTCCTGCCCCATTTGTCTCTGTTTGTGTGCACAGTGTGAACCATTGTCCTTGTTAATAACTAATACAGTACATTCTCTCTCCCGTGTTGGTAAAGACAACTCAATCTTTCTGTGTGCTCTAGGAAATCTATACAATTCTATACTGAATTTAAATGAAACAATAAAAATGATGTTGAGAAACAATGCGAGAGAGATGCATTCATGAAGGCCATTTACAATATTGGTTAGAATATTAAAAATGAGGATATCTGTCTCTCTTTTTTTGTATTTCATATGTTTTTTTGGTTTCTTTTTGCTGGTTTCTCAGGAGGCTAAAGTGTAACAGCAAAGCAGGGCTTCAGGTTGTTTATACCAAAAGGCTTCAGGTTCCTGTCACTGCATGTGTGCAGGTATGATGTGGTGAATTGTGCTGTGATATGGTGAGTGGATGACAATTGAGTCCATGTGCCTGGGGCCTATTTACTGGACCGGATCTGGGTCCAGTTCGGATATTTGACCAGTCCGGCCCAGATCTGTGTGTGCACGTATGTGTTGTGGAGACCAGTGAAGGGCCAACGGTCTCTGGTGGCTGAAAAAGTTGAGATTGAAGAAATAAAATACACAACTAGTAGAAAATGTGTGTGTCAAATAAATGCAACCAACACCAATAAAACATCTAGAACATTTAATACAACCCAAACCTGTTTGTCTTTGCCTTTGTTCTACGCTATTTTATTTACTACTTATACTTTCTCTATTTCTTACTTTATTATGGTTCAACAACAGATCATGGGTGTTATTTTTAGTGATAAAATTAATCTAATGTAATTTTAATATTTATCATTTCCAACAAAAGAACTCTATAGATATTTTTAATTCTATTGAATCATATTGCAGCTGAATCCAGTGCTGGACACCGACACATTTTCATCCTATTACCTATTTTTTCCCCAACAGTGTTTTTTTTTTTTTCTCAATTGCTGCACCTTGAAATGGTCCGTTTTATATAATATGACATAAATTACCCATATATGCTGCCAGTTCGTGGTCATAATTGTAGAACCTGAGCTTTGTCTAAAACAGCAGAAACTACTGAACAGAAATTGGAGGATGAGATGCCACCTAGTGCCGTGAAAAGATTTGGACTTCAACATGCAAACTGCGTCAACTGCTATAGGAGGAAGAGTTGGCAGCAGCCCAGGGTAATGCACCAAAAATAGTGTCTGCTCTAAATGTTCATCCCTGTCCACGTGAACATGTAAGAGGGTGAGAATGATGAACACACACCAAAAAAAAAAATCACAAATGTCCCTGTTTAAATGATCTATACTGTATATGTATTGTCAATTCCTTTTAGTGAGCAACTTGTGCCTCAGTATCGTTTATTTAAAATAAGCCTCTCGTTTTCCATCTTTTACACATTAGATAAATAGATATAAACCTTTACAATGTGCAAGACACAATCAGTGATAATTCAGCACACATCCTTTTTGGGAATCAAAAACTTTCTGGGACCAATCCACCACCTCCCAAAGACACAGTTTCCAGCTCAAACACACACTTTCTGTCACTCTGGCTGACAAACATCCTCTCGCCCTCACCCTTGTTCTAATTTCCCCCGTGTCTCTGCAGTGAGCTCGCTGCAGTGCGACTCTCCTCTCCCCTTCTCTCCAACGCCCCCTCCCTCCGCCACCCTACATATAATAGAATATCGATCGCTTGGCTTTGCCGCAGTGTGTAAGCGAGTGTTTCTAAGGACGAGTGCGCGTCTGACTGGGACCCTCCAAGGTCATTGCCATGGCAACTCGAACATGGGGTCCTTTAGCTGCGATGTCACAGAGCACAGGTCACAGGGGTCACATGAAGGGAGGAGACAAAAGGGGGTTGGTAAACGTGCAGTTTTGGTGAGTTCGAGACACAGTGAGGAGAGAAATCATGGGTTTGGCTCCGTCTTATTCCACTGTGCATTCAGACTGGAGCAGAATAATAAAAAATGTACAATAGGTACCGAGGGCCACAAAGTGCAGTGCAACTGCCACGCATGCACAAACAGATGGCAACTGTATCTTAAACGGACCTAACGTGGATTAAAATAAAAAGGATTTTAAAAAGGCCTCAATATGATCGGTAACAGTTTATTGCACTTCCGAATTTTAAATACAAAACACTCAATTTACATCAAATGTAAAACAAATACTGAACTTCTAAAACGTGTTTTCCATGACCTTTCAGACCAGAATGTTCCAAGCAGATCTAATAAATATGCAGAAAATCATCAGCATATTTTATCCAACACAAAATACCAAGAATTAAAAAAAAATAATAATCTAGAAGCTCATCTCAAATTAATTTATGCATTTTCTTCAATTAAAAACAAACTTGTGCATGATGTAGAGACATTATTCTAAAATTTTAAACGGGACTTGATTTGTAGAAATTAGTTATCAAAAATGTACAGATTTAATTTAGCAAGATGTTGTGTCTAAAGCAGAAAATATATAACAGTTGTACCTGGGTACATCCCAACAAGACACAAACCAGAGGCATCATGGGTTTAATATATGCAAAGGCAATTCTGACAGGAAATGTGCTTTAATGATTAAGAAATTCATTATTTGTGTATATGTGCAAGTTATGTGAACAAATGAGTGTAACAAAGTTCATTTATCATGCAACATAAGGTGTTGTCTTGATACAATGCCCTACGATAAATACAAAGAATAGAGGACCCAGATAAAGCAGGGAAACAAGTCTCAGAGCAATTTTACACCAAACCCTTAAAAATGACTCAATCACAGGGTCAAAAAGATGACTGATCGTTAACCAGCACCCGCCGATGGACCACCTGGCTCTTTACACGGGCTCCATGAGGAGTTCATCCAAGTCTGATCCCTCTAGCTCTCGGAACGCAGCGTGAGAACCAATCACAAACAGCGTTGCTCCTGAGACAAAAAAAAAGAAAAATAGGTGTGAACAGAGAGAATAAGAACGAAGTAGTTCACAGGTGCATAAAACTAGATTTGTCATTTTATTTTATATACAGACTGAATCAGCAGGAAAAGTTAGTAAAATGAGCCAATGGGTGTTTAAAAAAAACAAGGCTCCTGCAAACCCAGAACAGTAACACATGTCAGAAGTACTGTTGCTTAGCTTACCAAGAATCCAAAACACTGCAGCTCCAGCTCCAGCCAACCAGAAAACGGGCAGAGAGACGAGTCCAGCCAGACTCATCTGATGAGGAACAGTTAACTCTTTGCCTGGGTGACAAGAATATTAGAAATATTGAAGCACTCACTTCATCAGGTACATTTTGCAAGGGATATGCCTTAGTGAAAACGTTACTCACCGAGAACAACCAGTTTGGACTCCAAAGACTTGAGGTGGATTATGTAGAAGGCGCCAGCAAACACAGCTAAGGCAATCAGCAGCATGGGTGAGCTGATACTGAAGAGCAGAAAGATAAACGGGACAATCAGATTGGTGTTTTCATTTAAAAAAAGGCATTTGCTTACTGATTCTATGTTTGGATTATTTCAATCATGGCATTTTTATGATATAGTGACTGAGTGTATGGAGAACAGGTGATGTGAATAAAATCCTGATAGCAAAAAAAAAAAAAAATCTAAATCAAACTGATTGTAGGTCTTACATGCAGTAGAGAATGAGACCCAGAAATATGAAGGTATAGTTGCTGTTGTAAACTTCCACATTTTTCACCACCCTCTTACACAACTCCCCAAAGTTTCGAGGCTTTGAAAACTTGCGTTGGTCTACAAAACTGGCCCACGGTCGAATGGACAGCCTGCGTCTGTCGAACCACTCTTTGGCCACGCTGGCTGAGATGCCTTTAGGGAGCCGGAGCCTAAAAAAAGTAAAAGAACAAACCAATAGAATAAGGAAATGTGTTGAGACGCTGACAAACAATATTTGAAGTATTAATGATTAAAAGCCATCTGATTAATAGCAATAAAATAGACATTGTGTGCACATGAGATGAAAAGTAAAAGCTTAGAGGTTCATGCCTTGACAGCACCCCAGTGCCTCCTGTGCCAGTTGGATGAGCATCCTCAGCACTGAACAGATCTCCAGCCTTGCCGTCCATGTCCACCTGAACGTTTTCCCCCTTTGGCACTCCAGATAGCATTGAAAAGCTTTCTGTTTAAATTAAAATATAAATAAATAAATGAAGCATTTAATTATGAAAACAATTTCCTTTGACTGATTCATTTTCATTTTATTGCAAAATATACACTGTATGGCCATATAGGTTACAATAACTAAAGAAATATACTTTAGTTCTATTTTGCAAACATTTTAATAAACTTGTCCAAAATATTTTAGCGTCCACGTCATTTTAAGATCATCAAAAAGGACTTTCTCGTCATTTTAAGTGATCTAACACTATAGTGTTAAAACAGTCCAGACCAGTAGCTGACTATTTTGGAGAAACATCTTCTGTTTGTTAAACTGTTCCATCTCTGACCTATGAATCACTCAGGCATAAAAAGGCTCTTGAATTCAAGGGATGAACTGGTGTTTGATTGGTGTGCGTCAGACAACTTAGTAGAGAACCATTTTGAACAGTATACTTTAAAGATATGATTTGTTCCAATGTTTGATCAAAGATAACGGGGATATAAAATAGTATTTTATTTTTAACACCAATAAAATGAATCGCAAAAGCATTAATAGCACAAGACTTGGTATATGGCAGATAATAAATTCTCAAGTCCCATGTGCTGGGCTTTATTTTTTTGGTTCTCAAGGACATAACTCGAGATACAGATAAGTTATCTGCCGTAGATATTTGTTGTTTTGAGCTTGGCTATTCTTTTTTTTTTTTGTCCTCCACTGCTCATGTGTTTCAAACACTACAGAATATGCTGCCATGGTGGCCAGGTAAAATAAATAAACAGAAATAACTAACTGATCAAAATCACTTAAAAATTGAACAACAATAAAGTCTAGATACTTGTAAGTAAAGTATAAAGAAATTAGGTTTAAAAACTTTTGTAAAGGATTGGAAATTAGCAAAATAATTTCAATTTTTGCCATTTTGATTATCATCAATGTCACAGTTTTTCACTCAAAACTTTTATTACCAACAATAATAAATCACTCTGAGACCCTAAAACTCGTGATTTAAATCAAAACACATCAACACATTCATCTATCTGTTTAAAGTTATTTTAGAATAATGATTTAGAATAATTATACTACATAAACGTAAAGGTTTCTGTATAAAGTGTCACAAACAATCAAAAACCCAGACAAGTTTAAAGTTGCGACAGTATGTGCTCATTATAGCTTGTCACACGTTTAATAAAAACAAAACAAACAAATAAATAAATAAGCAAACGTACAGCAACCAGTGGAAAAAAAGGCTTAAGCTAAGGGCTTGGTCCTTCTGCCACATCACTGAACAAACAGGGCATGCAAGAAACCAATGCTACCAAACCATAGCGTTTTAATATATACAATCACTCAAGCAGATCAAATGTACACATATATGTTGATAAACAAATTTACTCGATTACAGACGAAAACTACTACTAGCTTATACTAATGTTTACGTTCATTTTTAGTCCAGGCGGATAAATTGTTCTAATGTTTTCTGAAATAACAACGTTACTACCCTAAATGCCAATTTTTTATATATAATTGATTGAATGTCGGCACTTACATAGCAGAAGTTTTACAAGACAATCTGATCTCCTTTGTTGCTGTTCGAAGATTACGGAAGTGATGTGGCTGGTAAAGAAAAAAAAACTTCCTACTTCACTCATTCCAGACAGCGCCACCTACTGGCCACAAAACATACATTACACAGATGCGTCAACGACGTTAATATTTTTTTATTATTATTAATTCTGTATTGAGCGCCTGAAAGTGTTTTTTTACAACATTTATTATTTGTGGGGCAAATACTTTCATCGCACGGTTGTTGTGGCTGCTCAAAACAGAACCAGCACTGAACAAAACTGACCGCAGATCCGCGATGGATAAAACGTGACTTTACGTCATGCAACAAGCTCGGAAGCTATGATTGGTCAGTTTCCGAGCGTTGTGGGCGTTGCTGTTACAGCTCACGTGGCGCTGTGGAAGTTGCTAGGTCCTCCAGCGATAGAAAGGATACAATCCCTGGACGTTGAATTGCTGTTATTCACGGTATTTGATCAAATTATGCATTTGAAATGTTTGACATTTTTAAAAAAACGTACCATTATGCCGTACGGTTCCTGTATTTAAGGCTCGTGCATAATAAAAGCAAGTCAAGGAAGGCATACGCTAGCTTATTAAAAACTGAAAATGGGGCGTTGTTGTTAGCGGAACATTGTAGCATAAGTGTCTTGATGCACGCATAAAGAAAACTGCATATCTCTGTGTAAAGTTGAGTTTAATTATTCAGCTTAGCAGCTGTCTTGGTAAGGTATTTAATGGCCTTGTTTTTTTCCTCCTTCATAGAAAACGTGACCTGTTACGTAAATTTGCCAAGGGTAGAAATTGGCCCCACTACTGGACGTCGGAGGAACGACTCGTATCTTTATCTTCCAGCTGGTGGTTTGGTGCATATTTTTTACAAGACGTCAACACTCAGCCGAGCTTTAGTGTCGAGTGTTGCCGAACGGCGTCGAGCTGAAGACGGAAAAAAGGTAGGATTCCGCTTCAGAACAGTGTTGAGCACTAAATTAATGTTTCATCCACATTATGCTATATGTAGCTATGTTACATTTGATGTGGAAACGGTTATTCTGTTTCCACTGGATAAAGAAACAAGTAACAATTCAACGTTTTGTATTGCGTTGATTTGACTAACTGAAAGCATCATTAAACCCATCATTGTAACTCTGGTTTTCAAGCTTTGAGCCATGAAACACCAAGTTGGGATCTTGAGGTCCATGAATTAAACAAAGTGTTAGCAGCATATCTTTTTGCACAACTCTTGCAAGGAATAAGAAAACACACCAAACGGTTATCACAAATTAACAATATCATAAATGTCATGGAAGCTGTTTGTTTTGTTGAAATGTTCGTTATTATCTAGCATTGAGCTGCTTGTACATTTCATGTACTATTATGAATTAAATGCTGAAAAGTTTGCTTTAGCTCCACTGTCTTTTTTTTTGTTGTCATTGTGTCAAAAATTTGTTTTAGTGTTTGTAAATCTTTTATATTCCTTTTACAGTTTCAGCACAGGAGAGAACGTGAAAAGACCCAAACTATGGCTGCAGTGCATTCCCCGGTGTACACTCTCAGGGACTCGCTCCACTGGGATGAAACGGAGTGCCTAAACTACTATGGGATGTTGTCTCTCCATGAGATCTTTGAAGTAGTTGGGTCTCAGCTAACAGAGATGGACATTGAAGTTCTATCTTTCCTTCTGAATGAAACCTACTCTGCACCACACCCTCTTGATCCAACAGGCTGGACAGTTGAACCTGTTGAAGATAATCCAGAGGACTCAGGCATGGCACCTAGTCCACAACTGCTGAAAATGTGGAGGCGGATAAAGCCTAAGGGATCCCAGCCCCCATTAGTGGACACAAAACTTAAGAGTGGTCTTGAGCTGTTACTAGAGCTTGAGAGAAGAGGATACTTCAGTGATGGTAACCTGGAGCCACTGCTTCAACTACTAAGAGTTCTTACCCGTCACGACCTGCTGCCTTTAGTGTCCTGCAAAAGAAGGAGAACAGGTGAGATCCTGAACCCAAGATCTTTGTGATGACTGTTGCTGCTCTGTCACACCCTTTCAGAAACTTTGCTTCATCTCTTTCTTATTTTTATTTTACTGACGTAATAGTTCAGCTATGCATTTGTTTTTCAGTGTCTCCAGAAAGAATTGGACATAGGTATGAGGTAGATAACTCAGAGTTGGTGTTTGGACTACAACATACTTGCAGATCAACAGAAATGCCACTTCCATCTTTCACACAACAATTAACAACTGGTAAGTGCACTGTCCAACAGCAGAACTGTACTTAACCACTTAAGACAAGTATTTATGGGTTTGAGACAATATGTTTGTTGCATCCTTCTGTGTGTGTGTGTGTTACATATATATGATTAATTTACACCATATTTTATGCTTGGCATCATTCTTTTGTTAATAAGTTGGCAAGAAATGGTTAAACATGGAACAGAAAGCTTTAAAATTTTAACAAAAAATGCCCTAAAGGAATTAATTTTGTTGATATTGCTCAAATCATTCAATTAAATGTTTCGTATGTTTTCAGATATTTCCTCTCCTGTGGCTGATTCATCTACTAGGAGGCAAAGAAAGAGGAGGGGAAATGGTTGGAGCCGTAGGCCCAAGAAAACTAACAGACATATCCAGCCACTGCCTCTGCCGCCAGCACATAGAGTGTCATGTGGTAAGTGAGCGCATATGTCTTCAGTTTTGTTTTTTCAGTAATGCCTTCGTCTTTTTCTCCTCTTCATCTTTTTTTATTTTTAAAAATAAATGTAGTCGTCAAATTTTTAACATCTTCCCCAATTCACCTTATTTCTGTTTTGACATTTAATGCTGATGTTCATTAATGCGGCTCGGCATGCTCCCACCCCCACACTGCTAGTACAGATACTTCCGGCCAAGCAGAGATTGTAGCCCTGTAGCCACAGGATAAATGGCTTTGACCTAGCATTAGTAACATAGTGCGCTGTTATCACTACTGAATTGAGGTGCAAAAGAGAGCCCAGGCAGGATGGAAAAAAGTTTCAAGAGTGATTTGTGACAAAAGGGTGGCAGCAAAGCTCAAAGAAAAAGTTTATAAGACAGTAGTGAGACCAGCTATGTCTTAAGGTTTGGTGATGGTGACGCTGACAAAAAGACAAGATAAAGAACTGAAAATGGCAGAAATGAAGATGTTGAGGTTCTCCATGGACGTGACAAGGATGGATAAGATTAGGAATGAGGTCATCAGAGGTACAGCACATGTTGAACCACTGGTAGATATAGTTAAGAGAGGCCAGACTGAGATGGTTTGGACATGTCAAGAGGAGGGACAGTGGGTATATTGGTAGGACGTTAGAAATGCTGCTGTCAGGAAAAGGTAAAGAGAAAAGCCAAAGAGAAGATTTATGGATGCAGTTAAAGAGGACATGGAGGTAGCTGGAGTGAAGACAGAGTAAGATGGAAGAGGGTGACTTGTTGTGGTGACCCCTGAAGATGGAACAGTTGACAGAAAAAGATGACAACAACCAAGATACAGTTTGAGCTAAACTGTTCAAAATAGTCTGTTCAGTCACTGGACAAAGAAGGTCTGACCAACATGGTTAGCTGCACTTTCCCTTTGGCAGGAACATCCTTTCATCCATTATCTTTACCCGCTTCTTCCTTTACGGGTCGCACGGCTCACCTGGTGCCCATATCCAGCAGTCACTGTGCGAGACGAGAGGTCCACCCTGGACAGGTCCATCACAGGGACCCGTAGAGACAAACAGGACAACCAGTCACTCTCCCACTCACACCTAGGGACAATTTAGAGTTACCAATCAGCCTAACATGCGTGTTTTTGGTCTGTGGGAGGAAACCGGAGTACCTGAAGAAAACCCACACATGCACGGAGAGAACATGCAAACTCCACCCAGAAAGATTCCCGGCCGGGATTCGATCAGGCGAGCTTTTTGCTGAGAGGTAACAGCTCTACCATCTAAGCCACCATGCCGCCCTGGCTAGAACATTATTCTAGAAGGAAAAAAAGTGTTTTCAGTATTGCCTACTGTCAGGACATGCAGTATCTTATTGTTTTATACAAACATCAAAACAAATGTCATCAGATTTCCACCCTGACCTTCTTTACATTCTTGCCCAATCCTTCAATCATTTCTCTAATCCATTAGACCACGTTCAGCTGCTGCTTCTAAGTGTTCGACTTGGTGGTTGTTTCCTGTTTTTAGTCTATTAATACAAGACAGTTGTTCTGTTTCAGTGTCGTCGGATAAAACGTTATCACAACGTGGTTCTGAAAAGAATTTGTCATCCTAACTCAGCTGAAAATGTTTCTTACCTCATTGTTAATGATGGAAGGTCTCCCTTTAATTCAGCTATTTTTCTTTTGCTTTGGATGGGTATCTAGAACTGTCAAATTGGTACGAGTTTTTTTACTGCTGCAGCTCCAATCTACTTTGATGTCTTCAATAAAGATGTTTCAGCAAGTGAAACTAAAATAAAATCCTGGAATTTGTTCAAAATTACCAGGAAACAACAAAAGAAATCCGCCTCCTTTAATCAGAATTCTCTCATGTAGAACTTTGATAATTAATTTTTTAGTTTAAAAAAGAAAACTACAAAAGTACTTTTTATTTGTACAGTATTTAATGTTCTTTACAAAACATTTTCATTATTATTATTGTTTTACAAAATTGACCTAAACTTAGTACATTGAAAAGCTAGTTGTGTAGTAAGTGTGTCAGCCTGTTAACATTAAATGCAATTAATGTAAAATTGACAGTGGAATATGCAAATATGTTTCTAAGAATCTGAGTTTATAAAAAGTTAGTTTGGGTTTTCATTTTAGGAAATAAACTCAGTTCATCGTGTCAACTCTAATGATGAAATTCTTCTTTTACAATTCCATTATGAGTAAGCAACACAAGAACTGTAGTCTGATATGACCTTTGGATTTAAGCTTTCTACCCGTTTAACCTCAGACATTGAGTTCTTGTCAAACATCTTTACTTACTTGATCATTTAAAATTTTGTGTAAGAGTTGACTTGTTTTTATTTTATCATTATCTATATCAGTGATACCCATCCATAGATTTTATCAAAGCTAAACTTTTCTCAGTACTTAAAGACAATTGTGCTAACATATGTCCTTATTTTTCTTTATGTAAAATTAGGCGAACCCAAACAATTTCTAATCCCTGCCTCTAAGTTATAAATCCTGTTCACACAAAAAGCCTAGCGATTCTAGCTCCGCTATAAACAAAATTAAAGAATGAAGACAGCCCTCAGAAAAACATTCTGGTTGAGTGATGTGCCTGTGACTATAAACATGTTGCTCTCTTGACTCCACATTTGATTCCACCAGGTTGACTTCGATTGTGACTCAGATCAAGTAACCTAAGACACAATGGATCACGAAGACAGAGGTGGAGACTGAGGAACAAAACAAAAAAGTCTGTCGCTCCACTCTGTCCATTCGTACAGCAAGCGTGCGTGATCAACTCGGTCATGTGCGCTCACACAAGTCTGGGCCGATGCCTAAGGTAAAAAGAGGCCCCCCTTTGTTACAACAGGGGGTGGTGCTGCTGCTTTGCTCTGTGTACGATGCTTGTCTATCACAATGTAGCTGCTCCTTACCATGTCCCTCTTATCAAACCTAGTCTGCTCTTAAAACAAGAAAGAAATCCTCCTGTGTTTTTAAGTGTTGTGCTCTGTGGAAGAGAAAACATTTGGAAATTTTTGGGCTCCTTCCAGTTCTGATAAAAAGTTATCAGCGTGTCACAGAACTGTCAGTCCTCAGCAGTAAGCCACAACCTCCAAGTCTGCAGCTGTTGTTGAAGGCAAACATACCAAACAAGAATCTGAAGCTATTTCTGCGTTATTTTATTCTAATCAATATCAAATTGAAATTATGGCGTAAAGAATCGTTTGAATCAAATTATGTTCCTCTTGAAAATGTTAGGTGAATTTCTGTTTTTCACAAATATGACCAACATACTTCTAGAAAGACAACAAAAGTATAAATTTGAACAAAGAACAATAATAACCATTATTTGTTACCAGTTAGCATTTGACGCTCCAAGTCAAACTGAGACACAAATAATAGGTAATGCAACATTTTTTATTTTTTGTGTTGGAGAGTTGCATGCTATTTAGAAAATACTGTTTTAGCATCTTACCATAAATAATTTAAACTGGATATGGGCATCTAGTGCAGCAAGAGTCCATCTGATTCATCTTTTTATTAGAAAGTAGGAAACATTTTATATATGAACAGTTAATTGGAGTAAAGAAGTTTGATTATTACTACTGTAAACATTGATAAAACAATAATGGTAAATATGTAATATTTTGTGCAGCCCTAGCATGTTATATTCCCTAAATAAATTCTATTTGGTTTCCAAATGGAGCAGAGACTTTTCTGATACACATTACATGCCATCAACCAGATCAAGAGAGTTGAGGCATCAACTAAGCAGCCCGTGTTGAATTTTCAATCTTAAACTAAGTATTCTGATTCATCACACATGTAGTGAGCATAAGGTTGCTGCAGATCATTCAGATAAAGTTGGCTGCACTGAAACCTACAATATTTGCTCTGAACTTGGTGATATCACCTGTTAACGAAAAACAAAAGTCATAACTGATGGCTAACCCAGAATACATGATGTTCCACATGTCAGTTTATGAAATGAGCTTGGACAGGAAGTTACGTCCTTTATACTGTACTAAAAGTAGTCCGATGTTTAAAAAGAAAAATATGTTGGACATATTTGTTAAAAAAAAAAAAAAAAGAAAACCGCTGCATCTTTTGGTCCCGTCCTCGCTTTTTTTTTTTTTTCCCATAAATATTGATAAGTTGTTTGTCCGACAACCAGCACCCATTTCAGAAAACTTAAGATGGCTGCCAAGAGACAACTTTTAAACAGATTCCTGTGAGGTCTCTTCTTGACTTCTGAGGAATGGAAGTGAAACAGTGCTCTGCTGAGGGAAGCTCACGCTGTACCTTATCTCCGTGGCCTGTGCGAGCCCTGGTGCACGTCGAGACGGCGCAGAGATAGATATGGCAGTTCAGTCTATCACTGACCCCCTAGCATTTCAGCAGACCAGTCTTGTCATAACTCCTCTCTAAGATGATTTTCAACAAACTGAAGTAAGCTTTGACAATGAACGCTTCAGTTGCAAATTTACATCAACTGTGTGTTTTTTGAATGAGGAGCTTTTTGGAGGTCCTTACTTGGGTTATTGAACATTGCTGATAAGTTGTGCTAAGGCATTAATTATTGGTACATCATGGTAATATAAAAGTCATCCCAAGCTTCCCACTATTCTGTAGAGTGAAAGTATATCTGGTCGTTCATGACAGCTACTAGCATTACTCAAACCTGATTACAACAAGAAGTGCCTATTTGATGTTGAAAGAAACAACCCAGTCAACCAATATCCAATCCACTTGTGCTTGTCTCTTTTTCCTCTTTTTTTCTCTTTTCTCTGTATTCGCAGTTCTAAACAGACCTACCCCTGTGTCAGGAAAACGATACTCTCACACACAGTGAGAGAGAGAGGGAGGGAGAGAGAACGAACACTAAACGTTCAAACTTCACAAAATGGTAAAGAGTGACTTGTCTATGGGATACGAGAGGGTTCTGTCTGCCTGTCTCTCAGATTCTCCCGTAGCTTTTCACTCTCTTGGTCAGTTGTTCAGCAGAAAAATGGATCGATAAAGAGTTGAAGCTCTCCGTGCCAAGTGACTCCTCATAAATGGGTACTTAAACTTTTTTCCTTCTGGTGGATGAGATGAGGAACCTGAACGGTCTGGTGTTTTAAAGTGAGAAATGAAAACTGTGCCTTCTAATGTCCTATCTAAGTGGATGTCTCTGTGCCTGATGAAGCGTGAAGTGCTCTGTAACCCTAACAAAATGACTGCCGCTGTGTTCCTGTTCTTTTTTTAATGGCCTCCTCTTCAGTGTCACTATCTTTACCTCGATCCTGCTCCGTGTGAAATGGAGGCTATCCATAAATGCAGTAATTACATGAAGGGCAGGTGCTTTATTTTAGCCCCAGTAATGACGAGGTGAAATGATCAAAAAGGTCGTTTCAGATTTAAAAAAATATGCTAATACTAAGTTCTACAAATGAATTAAAATGTAGGTCATCAGCAGTAATTTGATTTCCTCCCAAGAATGTTTTTGATAATTTGACCCTCAAAAGTTTGAATACATTTGAGTCCCTCTTTTTGTAAAGATGACTAAAACTGTTTGCATTATTTGGTGTCTTAACAAAACCAGCTTCATTGTACTCATCTCATGTGTTGAGATATTCTACCTGATTAGCTTTTTAAGAATGCACAATTTAAAATAATAATAATTCCAAATTTGCCACATTTTATTTTGTTTTTAGAACAAAAAGGGATAAAAAATTTTTTTAATATTTGGAAGTCTTTTATTTCCGCAACCTTTGCTCCATTTATCTTTGCTCGTTTGCCTTTAACAAATTTCTTAACATTTCATTTCTAGATGTAGTTTTTTACTGAAGGATATTGTTGGTCTTCATGAAAGAGCTTTTGCTATGGCATAAAATGATCAGATGTTACTATTCTGTCTCTATATTTGACTTAAAAATAAGGTGGTGAGAATTTACGATAGCTGCTTTAGATTTTTTTAAATGGAAATCATGATTTGTACCATGGTTTTATTAAGTCTAATGCATTAAAAATCCTGTCTGTATTGTAAATGAGCCTATCTAGAGATAATTATTGGTTATGGATACATTGTTATATATATATATGATTTAACAAACTGCCTCTCACAATCAAATGTTTTTTTTTATAAAAAAATGACCATGTTTCCAAATTTTGTGCGAAGATGTCTTTCTTGAGAAAATCTTTTTTGTAATAAATCCAAACAACAATGTACTGTATGTAAATTTAGTGGGACTCCTCTAACCAACTTCGCATATTTTAAGATTTAAAAAACAATTGAGGATTTTAAATACTTCAAGGCGTTCATTCAGAAGCTGTTGTTTGATTATCAGTCTTGTTCAAATGTTAAGAGATGCAAAATCGATGTCTTAATTCAACATTTGCATTTCTAATGTTGGCATTTTCCAAACTTTATCGATCAGGAGTCTGCTGCCATTCACCCTGGTCTCTAACAAAATATGGCTTCAAAGAAGGAGGACGTGACCCTTAAAGTCAAATGCACTCATTTAAAATTAAAGTTGCACATCTTTACAGAACGATCCATTAAGTTTTCTTGTAAAAAGGTTCTGTTTATTGAGACGAGACCCTAGAAATCGCCTTCCCATTTGTCATAAGTATGTTTCATAAAAAGATAAATGATTTTATAACAACTATCTGTTTTTTTTTTTTCAAGTATGACTTCATAATATAGTTTTAATACATCAATTCAGTTTATTTCTATAGCTCCCAAGTCACAACAGAAGAAGTCATCTCAGGGCACTAAACAAAAACATTCATATATGAAAATAATAATTTAACATTATTTATCTGAGGAGCAGACTGCTTTGAGTTTAAGTTCATTGCAGAACTCTCATCTTGAGCGAGCATGAAGGCGACAGTGGAAAGGAAAAACTCCCTCATGAGGAAGAAACCTTTAGCAGAACCAGACTCAGGACAAGCGTCCATCTGCTTCGACCTGCTGGGTTTGGTAGGAATAGATACACAATGGCAGGTCGAGTATCACGTTAAGATAGAAATGGTATGAAATGAAAACTTCAATTTTTACAAATTAAGGAAATTAGTTTAATTTGTCCTCTAGTAGTCTAATATGGCAGCCAACCCTAACTATAGGATTTATCAAAAGGAAAGTCTTTAAACTGGACAATGTGTCAGCCTCACGGACAGAAACTGGAAGTTGGTTCCACAAGAGAGGAGCCTGAGAACTGAAAGATCTTCCTCCCATTCTGCTTTTGGAAACTCTAGGGATCACGAGTAAACCTGCAGTCTGAGAGCGAAGTGCTCTGTTAGGAAAATATGGAACAATAAGACCTGTAATATAAGATGGAGCTAGGTTGTTGAGGACTTTGTAGGTTAGAAGTAAGATTTAGAATTCTATTCTGGATTTGACAGGGAGCCAGTGGAGAGAAGCTAAAACTGGAGAGATCTGGTCTCTCCCACTAACTCCAGTTCAGACTCTGGCAGCAGCGTTTTGGATCAACTGAAGACTTTAAAGAAGTATTTGGACACCCAGATAATAAACCATTGCAATAGACCAGTCTAGACATGACAAATGCATGAACCAATTTTTTTGCATAATTTTTAGGTTTTTAATTTTGATATTATGCAGGTGGAAGAAGGCAGTTCTAGTAGTTTTTTTTTTTAATGTGGGGGGTAAAAGACATGTCCTGATCAAAAATAACACCAAGATTTTTAACATTAGAGTTGGAGGACAGATTAATGCCATCCAAGGAGGGAGAAAGACTGAAAAAATGTATTTCTTAAAATATCAAGTCTTAGAACTTTTAAAAGGTTTTTTAAAATCTCAACATTAAGAAAGTTTGAGAATATCAAAAGGTCTGGTTAAGTTTTAGGTTTACATTTGGCTAAAACTACTTTGTGTTCCTGCACATCCTTTCGTTTGGACATGATGTTTCTAGACGAATGTTGGCAAGAACTGTTGGAGTCTCCTCAAAGGGTTTGATTGGGAGAGATGGGTTTTTGTTGCAGCGAGTGTCCTCAGCAGCTGTTTCGACTCGGAGCTCTGGATTAATGAGAGTGGAGGTGATGTCAGCGTTGCTCTTGCTCAGTACAGTATGTATCCTCTAATCTTTCTCACTGTGCTGTTGCATGACCATCAGTCAGTCGACACTGTTCTCAGCACTGAACAATCTGATCAGTGTATCTTCATGTTTTAAACTTCATGCTCAGAGAAAAAAGCCTTCCCAGTGTTTGGTACTGCTGAGTGACTTCTGCTCTTATCATGTTTTCTCAAGGCGTCAAGTTCATTTCAAGTAAATCCATACATGAGCGTCAGAGCTGTAATATTTGTGGACCTTTTAAAAGTTGTCGTGCTGAAAGTTCTCATGCTCCAGTTTCTTCTGACTCAATCATTTTGTTAACAGCTGGCAAATGAAACTCAAATTCATAGAATTGCCCGAACAAGAAAAGGAACCGCACTGCTGCATCAGATGAGTATTTGTCTTTAATTGCTCCGACTTGTCAAATTCATTTTCACCAAAACAAACGGGAGGGGCTTTTACTTAAAGCAACAATGCACAGACGGGTTGGTCTAGTCCAAGTGCCCCCGCCGAATTCAGTTTGCTCTGCCGTGCAGACACGTTTTAGCAGTTGCTTTCTTTTCGGGGTCTCATTCAAAATCAAAACAAAATCTTGAATAATTTCTGGACGACCTGTTCAGTTGCTCTGTGTGAACTGTGCCCCTTAAAAAAAAAAAATCACTAGATACTGATGCATTTAAGCAGAATTGCATTTTAAGTTTGATTTCTAATGTTTCTTTTCCTCTCCTTTCTTTTGACTTCACAACCCCTCAAACTCTTCCATCCTTCTTCCACCCTCTCATTTCGCACCGTCCTCCACTGTCTCCCACCACCTCAACCCACCTCCCCACTGTTTCCTCCACCTCACCGTTATCAGATATCCGCCTTCGTGTCCGGGCGGAGTACCTGGAGCATGAGTCCGCGCTACGTGACGGCGTCTCCTCGGACAAGCGGCAGCCGCTGGAGCGACAGTTCGAGCTGTTCAGCCGAGCCAGCTCGCTGCTGCGTGCCAGAGATCTGGGCTCCATTGTGTGCGACATCAAGTTCACAGAGCTGGACAACCTCGAGGCCTTCTGGGGTGACTACCTGAGCGGAGCTCTTTTGGAGGCCCTAAAGGGGGTTTTCATCACAGACTCGCTGAGGATGGCTGCAGGCTCGGAGGGTGTCCGCCTTCTGATCAGCGTGGACCAAGATGACTACGAGGAGGGCCGGAGGCTGCTGAGAGCCAGCAAATTTATGTTCTCCGGTCATGGTGGGCGCATAGAGACTCGCTAGACTTTGAGCCAAAATAATCTTTTTGTTGTAATATAGTAAGGTTAAAGAAAACCGTAGCCTGGGCTGTAACTGAAGGTCGAAGGTTTCAGGTGGAATTTACAAGCACTTTCAGGCCTTTTTTGTAATTCATGCAATAACCACTAGATGGCAGAAGTTCCCATCTGCGGTTTGTGTTCAAGTTGGAATATTAATATTTATTCTAAAAGATGATTATTTACAGATTTTTTTTTTAATTTTGATTTATGCACAGCTGCCTATTTGTAAAAGACCAGGATGAAACTGGATAAATCAAAATTTTCTTCTTTGTCTCAGAACAGGAACAAGCAGGCTTGTGCCTCCTGATCAAGTGGTAAGCTCGTGACACTTTGTTTCTAGATAAATTGAAGGCACAGGATAATTAAAAAAATATATATCAACAAAAACAAGTGACGTTGACTTTAGTTGTACGAATTCTTATTAAACGTGTTTATTCTCCTTATTTGTGCCGAGATTAATATGGTGCCTCCATTGTCAAGTGCAACCAAACAAAACGTTTCATTGTTCTTTTGATTTAAATGAAATCCCTGAAGTCTTGTGTACGGAGAAAATTGCCTTTTAAAAAACTGAAAGTAAATAAAGCAAACAAAAAAAAAAAAATCTGATATTGTAAAACAAATTTTAAAAATGAACATGGAAGGGAACACAAGTTTTTTTTTAATTTTTTATTTTTATTTTAACCGCAGTTTTGAGTTTTGTGCCCAATTTTGTAGAGCCCAAAAGTAAAATGCATTCTTGGATAACTGGAAATCTCAGTCCTGTGCACCACAATAACCCGCCTCGTGTTTGCTGTGGTCAGTGGATATGGTAGATGACAGCAGTGATTAGGGATGGGTCTCAGCGGACCATGGAAGATTCATCATCACAAGCTTGTCAGGGGCATACCTGATAATGCAGCAGTGGCTTGTGTCCGGCTTCCAACGAGGCCTCGGCAAGTGTTTCTCTCAGCAAGTAAAGCACAGGACGGTGCGTCAGTCAATAGAAGTGATGTTGGAGAGATCAAAATCAAAAGTGCACATCCCAGCTCCACTCAGCCCTGCCATGTTGGCCCAGTAGAGTGGCTCACAGACTGCTGTCTACTCACCCTGCTGGAACTAATGCCTGGACTTCACTCATGGAAGACGATCAATAAGGCCTCACTCTTAAGTCCCTTCATACTGGCACGACTTGAGCAAGCAGACAGCGTCTGAAGTGAAAGTCTGCAGGGCCACGGGAGAACAGCAGAGGTGTATGGTTGGGGGGGGGGGGGGGGGATTATTGTACATTTGTATTGTTCACCGATTCAGGAGAACATTTTTGTTAATGGTTTGTTTTTTTTGATAAGTAACATGTTTTGTGTAAATCTTTATATAGTGAAATTATTTCTGGTGAAAAATAAAGTTTGAACGATCTCATCCTGGTTATGTGCATTGTTGACATGATGAGAAACTAAACAAGTCGGTTTGAATCTAAGTTTTATTTAGATCAAATTCGTCTTTGTAGAGCAGTTCACGTCTGCTCTGGGTTTCATTAATATTACAGCAGTCAGTGGAAATGGCTGCTCCAAAGAGGTCCATTGAAGACAAACCTGATTTAAATGTGTACAAAAATGACAATTGTTTTTCTTTTGAGTCGACTCCTACAGGAAGCATTTTAAGTGTACCTTGATTAAATGTAACTAGCAGCATCTTCGCCCAACAATCTACTTTGACATCAAAACAAACATCTTCATGAATCCGTAGATATTCTGCAGAAGTTTGAATAAGAGTCTCAGAGGAGTAGGAAAATTAGAGAAGACTGCGCTGGTACTGAATATACACTGCCTGGCCACAAAAAAGTTGCCACCAAGAAAGGTCTCACTAATATTTTGTTGGACCACCTTTAGCTTTGATTACAGCATGAATTCGCTGTGGCATTGTTTCGATGAGCTTCTGCCATGTCACAAGATCTATTTCCATCCAGTGCTGCGTCACCAAGATCTTGCACTGATGACTAGGCACATGATGGGTGCATCACTTCACCTGCCTCTCTTCTTACCCTGATGCGTCCATCACTCTGGAACAGGGTAAATCTGGACTCATCAGATCACATGACCTCCTTCCATTGCTCCAGAGTCCAATCTTTATGCTCCCTAGCAAACTAAAGCTTTTTTTTTCCAGTTAGCCTCACTGATTAATGGTTTTCTTAAGGCTACACAGCTGTTCAGTCCCAATCCCTTGAGTTCCCTTTGCATTGTGCATGTGGAAATGCTCTTACTTTCACTATTAAACATAGACCTGAGTGCTACTGTTGTTTTTCTTCTATTTGATTTCACCAAATGTCATTCAGGATTTTTTTTCCGGCCACATTTCTTCCTCCAAGACGATGGATCCCCACTATCCTTCCAGTTTTTTATAATTCGTTGGACAGTTCTTAACCCAATTTTAGTAGTTTCGGTAATCTCCTTGGATGTTTTCTTTGCTTGATGCATGGCAGTGATTTGACCCGTCTCAAACAGACTGACATCTTTTCCACGACCACGCCATGTGCCTTTCGACATGGTTGTGTAAGAAATGAGAAGCAACTCATTGCACCAGTTGGGGTTAAATAACTTGTTGTCAGCTGAAAGATAATCGCTTATGCAGTAATTATCCAATTATTTGCTTAGTTAAATCCAGGTGGTAACTTTTTTTGGCAGGCAGTGTACATTTTAGACTTATTGTCTCTGAAGACTGTCAAGCAGAGAAGGCATTGAAGATTCTGTTAAATCCTTTTTTTTTTCTGTCAATCTTTTAAAAATTGATTACAATAACTTCATTGTGCTTTCAAACTTTTACCAATAAATGCGAATGAAATACAAATTTGTCTTGTATCTTCAAATATTTGGCTCATCGTTGGGTCAGTGTCAGTCTGCCTTAAAGATGCCCCCATTGTCAGGTCGGTTAGGATCACCCGGCTTCTAAAAGGCTGCTTTGTGTCCAAATGGTTTTATTATTGACCTTCCATCATGAAGAACAGTAAGAGGACCCAGCCCTCTGGGAGAAACTTGATGGGGTGTTTAGAGAATATGCCCTGTTTGATGGCCAGCTAAACTGCCTGAGGCTCGCCTTGAGGAAAACAGTTCTTTTTTTTATTTATTTTTAGAAAGCCCAGTTCTCATCACACCCAGCCTTAAAGCGAGAGCAGTGATGTGATGCCCACAGGTAGCCTCTCAGGCACTTTGAGAAGTCTACAAAACTACAGAGGTCCAGCTCAAATGGTGCCGCCGTCTTCTCAGAACCACAATTCCCTCGTGGCGGGCCTTCTTTCCACGAGAGACCTGTTTGGTGGAGAAATTAGGAGCACGTGGAGCACTCTGAAACATTTTACTCACAGATTTTTAAGGACCAGAAATGCATCTAAACAGTTCTTTTTGCCAGGATGCTCTGCGCTTAGATGTCTTTATCAGTCTCTTAAAAACTTGGTTTATCAGTGCAATAAAATAGAATATTTTAAAATTAGTCTAGCATGCAAACAGAAAAAATGTTCAAATCTCTTTTTTTGTTTGTTTGTTTGTTTCACCAACCAGCACTTTTATACCTCACAAGTCTGACACCAAATAGAATTGGGGAATGCCTGGTAAGGCAGGCACCCACTATTATCCACCTGACAAGGGTTTCTTAACTTTATATCTTACTCCTCCATCAACTTTATTGTGGCCCGAAGCGCAATGCGTACCCCCACAAATGTTATATCAAAACGACCGGCTCGGCACCGTGATGTGTGCTATTATTTTTACTGGTGTTTCAAGTTAACATGGCGACATGATTTGTAAACAAAGACGCCATTTTTATTAGTAATTTTTCATAGATTGCAAATAAAATATCCAAAATGACCGCCTGAGCTAAAAAGTAAAATTATATAAATCGGCCATTTTTAGAGATATTAAGCTGAAATTTGGCATGGCAGTAGCTGAGGGCAATGCCCAATAACAAATTTTTAAAAGCTCAAGATGGCCACCAAAACTAAATTTACATGGCTTTAACTCAGCTATTTTTACACATAAAGCTGAAATTTGGTGTGGTTAACGCTGAGAACCTTCCCCATCACATACCGAGTCCAAATGTAACTAGAGGAATACATTGATGGAGACACTGCAAACCATAAAGTCACATCCTTTTTTGTAACAAATCAATCAGTTTCAACTGGCGTTTTCACTTTCTGTTACCTGCAGCGGGGAATAACTTGGAATAAACTATATAAAACTCGCTTTGCTGTTTTTTTTATCATCATATCACTGAACATTTGGTGAAGGGAATGTTCAGTTTATTATCTAAACCACTTCAGAGAGACGTCAGAGGTGCTTTTGTGTTCCTCGGTGCAAATGGTATCAGGGGCACAAAAGCTAATGTAATGGCGGTTTGTGTGGCAGGGGACCGCTCATCATTCTCTTGTAGACTTTATTCCGCTGTCCGCAGGTGTTCCTCCTCCTGCCTTGATTGGATGGAGACTCAAGTCATCTTGTGGTAGCTCGAGCTTAAATCAGTCTGCTATCAAAACGTGTCATCTAAGGCTGATGGACACTATAGCTTTGTGTCGGCCTGCGGGGGTTGCTGTTACTGTATGTATACCCTGCAGCATATCCACATTCTTCTGATGGGAGAAATTCTTCTTTCTTGAGAAGAAAAAACAACATATGGTCTTTCTTGAAAGCCTTCTTCCATCATTATAACCTACAAAGTATGTTAGACAGAACTCACAGATGCCTTGTAATTTTGCCTCAACTTCTTATCACATTTTGGTTGAAGATTAAACTACATTTGAGGAGGTTTTCTGTTAAAACATGTTCCAGCTTAAAAATACAAGCCTAAAAATTCCAAGTGAGCAGAAAATAAACCAGAAATGGTTTTACTAGTGTCACTTTGTGAAGATGCTCGTTACGCAAACGTCTGTCGGTTTGGTTGATTCAGATCCAGCTGAACTCTTTTGTGTTTGAACTTGAAGATCTGTTCAGGTCAAATGAAAATAAAGAAATTGTGTAAGTTGTTGTTTATGTGACTACTTTTAAAGCATTCAGACTATTGAGATATGTTTTTCTTCTTTGTTCTGCTCATTCAGGACATTTCTGCTGTGACATTTAGTATTTGTGCAGTTTTTACTTTAGAAAATATTTAGCTTTTCCAGCCATGTTTTTTTTTTTCCATAAATGGACCTCTCCCCATCCTTCAAATGGTTTGAGCTGTTTACAACCTTTTACTGCTCATTTCAGCTTTTGATGTGGTTCAGCTTATCTGTGCTGATTTCATCTTCCTTCAGCTCCTTTCAATTAAATTTTGCTTATTTCAGCTATTTTTCTGTTTCTTTCATAATTTCAGCTTTTTATAATCAGTTCAGCTGCATTTTGCTAATTTCAACTTCTTTCTGTTTTTTTAGCTACTTTTTAGGTACTTCTCTGCTAGTTTTAGCCTTTTTTTTGTTGCAAATTTCTTCCTATTGTAATTCTTTCTAATTATTCTGCTCCTTGTGGCCTCTTTCTGCTAATTTCAATTTAAACAAAAATATTTTTCAGGTACTGTTTTGTTAATTAAAAAAAAATCTGCTAATTTCATTTTCTTTTAGGGTTTTTTTTTTTGCAGAGTATTTAGCTTCTCTCTGCCTATTTC